TGATTGGTCCCATCCGATGCACAAAGTGAGCTTCCTGATGCCCATGGCGCCTCTGGCCAGAATGGGTGTCTCAGAGCCACCCACTCAATTCCACCTAAGGCGTGGGTTGGTTGTTCATAAGCCAGTGAATCTGGTCATCTTCTCATCAAGCTGATGATGCTCGGCCACAGGGAAATGAGAGTTGTCATCACTGCTGAAGGGCCCGTCAGCGTTTGTACCCTCTTGGCAATTTTAATTCAAAATATGCCTGTCTTTCAACCCAGCCATTCCATGGCCCCATGTCCAGCCTAAAGAGTACAGCTCCCTCCCCTGCAAAGTCTCCACCACACTGCTTGTAACAAGGAACACAGAAGCAAGCTCCATGCCCCTCTGTACCAGGGCATCCCGTGGAGCCTTTCAAAGGAATGCAGTAGTTCTCTGTGTCCTGACTTAGAAAGGTCTCCAGAGGGGCACCTGGGTGGCTCAGTTTGTTAAGTGACTGCCTTCGGCTCAGGTCATGATCCCAGGCTCCTGGGATCGAGCCCCGCATCGGGCTCCCTGCTCCGCGGGAAGCCTGCTTCTCCCTCTCCCACTCCCCCTGCTTGTGTTCTCTCTCTGTCTCTCTCTCCGTCAATTAAATAAATAAATAAATAAAATCTTTAAAAAAAAGAAAAAGAAAAAGAAAGGTCTCCAGAAAATGGTAAATGAAAAAGGCAAGTTGCAGAACAATGTGTATAATACGAATCCATTTAAAGGAAAAAATTAAAAATAAGAAATCCACACATTTTTATTATATACTTCATAGGAAAAAATCCAGAGAAACACACTCTGGTGGCCTGGTACTTACTCTGTAGAAAGTGGGTAGGATTGGGATTAGGGATGTGAAGGGAAACTCTCTGACTTTACTTAGTCTGCTTTAGTATCATTTGAATTTTTAATAATAAGATATTTATTCACACGTGATTGATTTAATTCTTAAGCACATCTGAAGGAAGGGGGATCAGAGTTCTTCCCCAGCCCTGTCCCCAGCTCTGCTGCCACAGTCTGCTAGGGCCAGTCCTGGCATGACCCACCCTTGGGTTCTGCCAAGGGAGCTCCCAACTGCCCCTCACCCACTGTCCTGACTTTTTCTTATGCCATCCAAGCAAGCCATTCATGGTTTCACAGAATGCAGGTCCCAGAGGCCTGCAAGGTCCCAGAGCCTAAGCCTTCTCCCTTCGTAATGACATCTAGGAGACTCACAAGACACTATCTATACCCTCTGTCCACATATCTCCAGGGACAGGCAGCCACGACCTTCCCAGGCAGTTCCTTCCACACGCAGAAATTATTAACGGTTAGATCACAATCCTGCATGCTGAGCCAAACTCCATCTGCCCAGAGCCCCTCTTAGCAGCTCTACCTCTGCCTTCGGAGCTCTCTCAAAGGCACCCAAGTTAGGCGAGAACTAGCAAACTCTGGAGTGAACCTCCTGTGTTCAAATCCTGGTTCTGTAACCAACCAGCTCTGTGATTTGGGGGACATTTGTTAATACCTCTGTTCTTCATGGACCTCGCCTGTAAGATGAAAGTTATAATAAAAGTACATATTCCACAGGTTTATAGGGAGGAGAAAATGAGTTCATTGTGAACTTGTGATCACTTGTGATGCTTATGGCATCGCCTGGTACACAATGATCACTACATCACAAAACAAGAGACCAGAGTTTTGGTCCTGGCAGGGACCCCATGGGCTCTTTTTTTCATCGGTGAGAATGATTGAGGCCCCAAAGAGGGATAGCCTGAGAATGAGGCAGGTATGATACTTCTTAAGATGTGTGCACATTTCCTATTTTACTCTTTAATGTAAAAATAATGATTTTGCTCAAAGATTAATACTCCGGGAAGACTGGCCATGATTATGTAGTAGAATCCTGTATTTTCTCCAGGCATAACCCAGACACATCTGCACATATCCCAGGCATATTGGATGCCTGTTTGAGAATGTGGGTCCAGAGGATCCTCTGAGGTCCTTCCAGTGTCAGGTCAAAGTCAAGCCCTGGCTCTGGCATTAAGTGGAGGGAGCACGTTCCAACTTCCCTCTATACATGGGTTCAGTTTACTCATCTCTTAAGACGACAGAGGGGCCAGTCCCTGCCTGTGCTGCCTCCCCAGGGATGTAGGGAGGTTGGATGGGGGCAGTTTGCACGGAAGTGCTTTGTGCTCTGGACCGAGTGGCATGAAGTGTCAGCTTGGCAGAAACAGCCCTCACAGATGCTGGCAGCCCCTCCACTCAGGGGAGACTGGAGTTTTCTGAGATTAGCCCATCCTGAGTTCTGGCAGAGCTTTCCCAGAAAGCAGCCTCAAGGAGAGGCCAGGCTTCCTGATAAGTGGGGAGGGCAGGGGACCTTCCAGTTCCTTCTTGGGCCGTTATATGGTCTCTATACTACCTGCCAGGCCAAGTGGGCCAGAGCCCAGGGCTGTGCTGAGTCTTCTGAGGACAGGCCTGAGCTCTTCCCAGCTCTTTCAGGAGCCATGACAAATGGGCAGTGGAACTTTACCAGTGTCACTCTACCTGCCCAGCTTGGTGTTCCCAGCCCCATTTGAACCCAGACAGGCTCTGGTGAACTCAATACCTGGGAGGAGTTCTCCATCAAGAGTCTCAACTGAGATCCATGCTTGTCCTTTTGGATGGTGGGCTAATGTATCTTCTCAGCCCTCCCGTGTTGTTGTGCATCAAGCATGTTCCTCCTTCCTCCATTCAGTTCCTTGACCTTGACCTGGAGGTACTGGGTACTATGTTCTATCCAAGGGCTCACAGTTTAGGCGAGCACCATCGAATAGAATCTTCTGTGATGATGGGAATGTTATACATCTGCACTGACCTAATTGCACAATTGAAATGTGGCCAGTGAGACTAAGGAACTGAATTTTAAATTTTATTTATTTAATTATTTAAATAATTTTTTTTTAAAGATTTTATTTATTTATTCATGAGAGACAGAGAGAGAGAGAGAAGCAGAGGGAGAAGCAGGCTCCCAAGGAGCAGGGAGCCTGATGCGGGACTCGATCCCAGGACTCTGGGACCATGACCTGAGCCGAAGGCAGACGCTTAACCGTCTGAGCCACCCAGGTGCCCTATTTATTTAATTATTTAGATTTAAAAATTTTTTAATCCGATTAAAAAACAGGCAGAGGATCTGAATAGACATTTTTCCAAAGAAGACATCCAGATGGCCAACAAGTACATGAAAGGATGTTCAACATCACTTATCATCAGGGAAATGCAAATCAAAACACAATGAGATATCACCTCACACCTGTCACAATGACTAAAATAAAAAGGACACGAAATAACAGTGTTGGTGAGAATGTGGAGAAAAGGAGACCCTTGTGCACTATTGGTGAGAATGTAAATTGGTGAAGCCACCATGGAAAACAGTATGGAAGTTCCTCAAAAAATTAAAAATAAAACTGCCATATGATCTAGCAATCCCACTTCTGGGTATTTATCTGAAGAAAATAAAAACATTATTTCGAAAAGATATTTGCACCCCCATGTTCATTGCAGCATTTTTTACAATAGCCAAGACTTGGAAACAACTTGAGTTCCCACCAATGGATGTATGAATAAAGAAGACACACACACACACACACAATGAAATACTACTTAGTCATAAAAAAGAAGGAAATCTTGCTATGTGCAATGACAAGGATAGAACTCAGGGGCAATATGCTAAGTGAAATAAGTCAGACAGAGAAAGACAAATACCTATGATCTCACTTATATGTGGAACCTAAACAAAAACAGAAAACAACCAAGCTCATAGATACAGAGAACAGATTAGTGGTTGCCAGAGGTGAGGGGTGAGTGAGATGGGCAAAGGCGGCCTTGTTGTCCTGGCTGGGACCCCCAGGACAGTATTGGTGAAAGTGAGCATTCTTGTCTTGTTCCTGCCCTTGGGGGGAACGTCTTTAAGCCTTGATATGATGTTAGCATGCTCTCCATGTCTTTTCAAATCTCCTTAAGCTTATGTTTATTTTGTGTTATCTTATTATACATGGTAACAGAAAACTCAAACAATAAGATACAAAGAAGAAAACAAAAACTCTCCTAAAATCCCACCACCACCAGGACACTTGCAGGCCTTTTCTAGGCATTAGGCATATATATGTGTCTGGAAGATACATGCGACTTTGCTTAAATATGACCTGTTTTGTTACTGGGCTTTTTTTCTCCATATTGTTTTGTGGTCATCGTTCTGGGCCTGGGACCAAAGATTTGCATCATCATCTGACAGCTATCATTTTCTCTTGTAAAGCTCAGCTATCATTTACTTGAGCAACCCTCTCTGGATGAAGTTGCCTCTCTTTTTCCCTAGTATTATAAACAAGACTGATGAAATCCTCATCGTATCCTTCCCAACACTATATTGTAAGGTTTTCCTTTTCTTTTGTTTTCTTTCAGTCTTTGTCACTAGAGGTCTTGGGGTACGGAACTAACATGATCAGAGGGAGGGAGGCTTTAGAAAACAAACTCTGGGCATTCCCAACTTAACTGTGTGACCTTAGGCCAATCTTTTTCCCCTCTCTGGGCCCCGACTTCTTCATTTGTAAATTGAAGGGATTCATCTAAGTGCCTGGTTCCCAGACCTGGCTGTACACGGACATCACCTGGGAGTTTGAAAAACCACAGACATCTGAGTCTTATTCCCAGAGATTCTGATTTAATTAGTACGGAGTAGAGCCTAGGGAGTAGGATTTTTCATTTCCTTGAGACTTGTTCATTTGAAGATCCCTCCTGCTCGAGTTTTCTCGTAAACATCTGTTCTTGGCGTCCATCAGGGCCTGGGTTTGAATCCCAGCTCATTCACTCCTGGTTGTATGACCTTTTCCCTTCTCCAGACTTCCAATTCCCGGTTCTTGGGGGAAAGGGGGAGTAGCTAAAATCCCCGCCCACCACGCAGGGTTTCTGCGCGTAGAGAAGATGAGCTCCTGCACAGAGGGGATGAGTGGTGACTACTGTTCTCTTCTTCATCAAAGAGCCAGCCTCTGGGCAACAAAGTGGAAATGGAGATTGTGAGCATGTTGGAAAAGAACGCAACGCTTCTCAAATTCGGCTACCACTTTACCCAGCAGGGGCCCCGGCTGCGGGCGTCCAACGCGATGATGAACAACAACGACCTTGGTGAGTATCCTGGGCTACCTGCCCACCGGCCTGTCGTTTTCTCACCAGTCCTGCGGGCGCGGTGCGGTATGGCAGGGAATATTCCACTGATACCTACGCCAAGGGAGTCATCTTCTTGAGGCCGACTCCTGACTTTCACGTTGGTCCCAATTCCTCGGCTTCTGTATTGGCTCCTGGCTCGCCGCCTCGCCTTTTCCTCTTTGAATACCCTTCTCTGCGCTCAGAGTCCTCTCCCCGGACTTCATGGGGGTCTGGCTCTAGTCCCAGCCCGCAAAGCCACCGACCAGCACTACTACCCAAACCCCACGCCCAGGAGACTTCACAGGGCTTTCAAGGTGAAAGTTGAAAATGTTGACTTCATAGAAGGTGAAGCAGGTTGCTTTAATTTCATCTCAGTTAAAGGCATAGCTTATATTTTTTTCTGAAAAGGAAACGAAAGAAAATGTCACCATCTGTTTTTGTTGTTGTTTTTTTTGAGTGTCAACAAAATAGGTATGCAAGTCAGCCGAATGAAAAGTGAGACTGATCATTGACTTACAGGTACCTATTGTTTTCAAGCTCTGTGAGTATTTATGATGTGTATCTCTGCTGGCTGCTAAAAGGATTTGATACAGTGTCCAAAAAGGACTATGCTAAGGCTGTAGGGAAATAGGAGGAAAAAGAACAAGAAAAGAAGTAGGTCTAATATGTTAACATAATTGATCATTATATTTAGCTGTGAATTTTCTAGGACCAAGGCAAGAAGATGAACCAAGTTACAATACTCTTATTACAGAAGAGAAGGAAGCATAACAAGCTCAGAAAGAGAGGGAAAAAAAAGAAAAAGGAAAGAGAGCTTCTCTCTGGGATTGAATTATGAAATAACTATGTTTTCTAAAGGACAGTGTCTTCAGTGAGCTTTTCATCAAATTCAAGCCTGTTCTACACGTGGGGTCTTTGGTTTTTTTGTTTCTAACACTCAGTAAAATGCAAAGGGCTTAATACTAAAGCACATCTCAAAGTTCAGGTATGTCACTTTCTAGTGATGAATCGGAGGCTAGGTTGTTACCTGGAAGGCCCAGAAGAATAGAGGGGAGTGTGTAGGTGTGTATGCACAAAGCGGGTACTCACCGAACCTATGCACGGATAACCACAGAGCTACACAACACACACACACACACACACACTCACTCACTCACTCACTCACTTTAAATTGAGTTACTCAATTCAACAAGTACTTGTCCAAGTCCTGTAGGGCATTGAGTGTTGAAGATACAGGTTCCTGCTCTTGAGGATATCACAGTCCAGAAGTTATTCATTCATTGCTCACTCTAGGTGCCACTTTTTCTAGAGCTGCAGGTCTAGAAAAATCCATAAAACAAAGAAACAAAAATGCACCTAGTATCCTGGTTTATCTCACGTGCCCTTATTTGAAATAAGCACAAACACAAATAATTACAGATCACTATCATGGTATCACAGAGGTGATGGCTACACCGAGCTGTGGAGGAAGGCCAGCAATCTGAAGGCTCTTGGCTTGGCTGGGATCCGGCTTCAGAGCCAGCACTCCAAAGCCCTGAGTTCTATTCTGATATGCCACATTTTCCCCTCCCAGTTTAGGTTGAGCTTCTACTGTGCCCCTGGCTGCCTATCCCAGGGCTAACCCAGCTTTTGTCTTTCAGTGGCAAAATGGCCTGCAGGCCTTTTCTAGGGACAGAGGTTCCAGATGACCAGAGGTCAGGGGTGCTGCAGTGGTGGAGGGGCACCAGAATTACCTGTGGGCCGGATAACCTGGCCCTTGAGGACTCTCCCAGTCCTGAGAGTCTGTGACTCCAAAACCCAGGCTCGACTGCTAACCCCGGCAGCTTCTGAGGTTATGACGGCCGGGTCCTAGAGTGCCAGAGTAGAAGGGCCTTCAGACTCACCCCCCCCCCCAGTTCCCTTTTGGGAAAACTGAAGCCTTGGGGGGGACCGCCCTTCTAGGGAGCGGCTCAGCCAAGTCCCACCCACTGTTAGTTACAACAGCATTTTGGGAGCAACTTCGGTGTGCCCAGGACTGTGCCAGGGGACATAAAGGGCAGCAGAAAGGCTAGTTCCTTGACTCCAGAGCCATTACAACCTTTTAGGAGAGAAAAGACTCAAGGGTGTGCCTAAAAACAAGAATGCCTGCAAAGGGTGCCCAAACAATGTGAGGAAATGACTTGAGAGGACAGAGGCTGGTTAAGCAAAGCATCCCTGTTGGGGGTGGGCCTTTAGCCAGCCTTGCAGGGAAGACAGAGATTGTGGGGGAGGTCAGGAGGTGTTCTTGGTGGGGGTACTAGCACACAGGGAAAGGCAAGTGGGGAGGACCTAGTATTTCAGGTAGGAGAGACAGAAAGATCCAAAAGGACTGGGGGGACTATTATAGGGAGTTAGACCTAGAAGGAAAAATAGGAACTCACAGAGAATGGAGGGAAGGGCATTCCAAGCAGAAGGAACAGCATGGGCAAAGGCAGGACCAGGAGTTTGGTGATGAAAGCAGGTAGGAGGTAAGATGGCAGTTTCCTGGACAGGACTGCCAGGTGATCAAAATGGGCCTTGGGGTTAGCCCAGGGGACTGTTCCCTTGGGGTCTCCCACCAAAGGAATTAGAGCAGAATCGCTTAAGTGATTACATGCAACACTGAGTGCTGGTGGGTGAAGTAGAATTTCTAGCTTTAAAGGCCAATTTGTGCCCATCTGCTAATTTTTGTAAAAGAAAACCTTCTGATTCAGATAGTGCACCAGCTTCCTCCTGCAAAAGAGAAGTCCTTTCTTTCCAACACAGTATTTTCATCCCGCTCTCAGGGCTCTGATGAGGCAGACAGGCTTCCATGCTTTCCAGCTGAATATTTTTATCCCGAGAGCCTCCCGCAGGCCGTCCCTAGCCACTGTGGTGGTTGGTGGTTAGTAGGTTAGCAGTGTTCGCGGCTGCATCCCCAGCGGCAGGGAGCACAGAGCGGACAGGGTCCAGCCTCTCCAGCGTGCGGACTCACTCCAGCCTGCGCCTGGCTGGCTCCTGGCACGCAGCCAGCCTCGGGGCTGGGTTTTGCCTGCCTGCAGGGTGGGTGGGCTCTTCCTTGGGGGATGTTCGATCCCCAAGGTCGGAGGTCGGCTAGTGCCTCTGCAGATGTGCAGCCTGCCAGGACCCACTCTGGCTGGCGTGTCTTCGGCCCTTCCCATCCTGTGCACTGAGCAGCTAGCTGCACCGTGGTGTTGGGGAGGAGCCATGGGTCCCCATCTGTGTTATCTCCCAGCGATACCTCAGATGACTCCTACCTCTACACTATTTATAGCTGAGAGGCTAAGCATGGCTCTCAGGTCCTGTAAATCTGCCCCTGAAGCTCTCTCCACTTAATGAAATCTGAATCACCAACTCCTAAGTTAAGATTGTTGTAGGTGTGGAGGTGGGGTGGGGAAGAGGGCGGCTGACATGTTTCAAAGCCGAAAACACCCCTTCCTGGAAAAGTCTCTCTTCTACTGTATTCTCAAGGAAGATTTTTCTAACAAGCACCCAGACACCGTGCACCCCAAATCAATTTCCCTCATCGTCCCCCAAAACCATGTCAGGAAAGGGTATTACTTTCCTCATGGCCATCCAAGCCTGAAATCTGCCCCCAACCCAGCCATCAGTCCCCTCCTGACCATCCCTGTGGTCCTGCCTCATGTCAAGCCCTCAGCACGTTCGCCTCCTATCCTGCAACTTCTGTGGGCCGGCCAGCATCTCTCAGACTGCCCATCCCAAAGTTTGTTCTGTCACTTTGCTTAGTACCCTTGCGGGGCTCGCACTGCTCTCAGGTGAGAGCCCTCAACATGGCTCCACGTCCCTCAGTAATCAAAGCCGATGCGTACATGAAGCTTCCTGGGTGTCAGGCGCGGCTGTGAACACCTCCCGTCTTATTTATTCACGTGAGGCTCCCAACAACCGGGTGAGTTAGATCCTATCATTACCCCCACTCTACAGGACGTGGAGGTCCAGAGAAGTAGGTAAGGTTACCGGTAGTCAGTGAGTGGAAGTGGGGTTTGAGCTGCAGTCTCACCTCAGAGCCTGTGCCCCCCGTGTCCCCCTTCCCCTCCCGGGGTGATGCCATGCTGAACAAGCCATCTTCTTATTCCGTATTAGCACCAACCGGTCCGGGGAGCTTGAATGCCAAAGTATCCCTGTAGGGGGCCACTACTCCTAACCCTCCCCTTCCCTTCTCAGTCTGCCCCTTTATCCCTCCGGATTCGCGGCACACGTTCCCTGCCGTCCTTCTCACCACAGCATTCATTATGCCTCCTACTCCCAGAGCTACCAGGGTACCTATAATATTTTATCAAACTCACTGCTGGTATAGCTTGGTGCCCTGTTATGCTAGATCTTTATTTCTGATCCTTGTGCTTGGCACATAATAGCACTCAGTAAATGAACACATAAATGAATTTAAAATGCTTCCCAAAGACCTGATGGAGGTGTTCGAGCTTGGCAGGAAGTAGCGGAAGGAGCTTGAGCAGCGGGTAGAGGTTGGTCCGGATGACTCGAGATGCCTTCTGGCTCAGACAGTGAACAAGTCTGGCAGTTGCAGTGATAAGGGTTTTGCTTTAAGGGAAGTAAAAAGCAGACTGAATTGAAGGAAGATGTTAGGAGACTTGGCTTCTCCTTCCGATTCCGTCACTTATTCACCGTGACTTGGGCCAACTTACTTCCCTCTCTTGGCCTCAGTTTCCTTCATCATGAAAATGGAGAATAATACCTAAGCAAGTGCATGCCTTGCCCTTGTCCCCATCCTGTCCCCGTCAGAGCCAGCGCTAGGGGAGCTGCACCGCTCCTGCCCAGGGAAACCAAAGAGGGCATGGAATGGGGGGGGGGGGGTGTGCCTGGGATCCCTGTCTATACCCTGAGCCATGGGCTGGGGACTCAGGTTCCCGTCCTGATTCTGCCACTAGCTCTTAGGGGCTCTAGCTCCCTTTTGTTCTCCAGGGGAAAGGAGCTGATACCCTTGCGAGAATCAGCTGTGTAGGCCCTACGTAGCCCGGCCCAGACTGTACTGAGGGACATGCTGGACTGAGGCTCCAGATGAGCTACAACCCTGGTTCTGTCTAGTACCAGCTTTATTGCTTCAGGCACGAAATGCCATACTTTGCTGCTCCCTAACATGGGAAAGATAACAATGCGGACATTCCAGAATTGGTGGTGGGGCTTCGATGAGGTCTTGGGTGTAAAAGAAGTGTAATGAGGACTGCCCCACGGGGCATGCTTGCATAAGCTAACGTGGTGATACTTAAGCGTCTGGCTTAGGTAAACTCTCTGGTCACGTTAGGCAAAACTTTTCTGCTCTTTGGGTTTTGGTTTTTGTTCCCTGACCTTTTCTCCCAAGCTGCTGGACATTCTGATGGTGTCCAGGGCCTGGGCTGCACGCAGTGTCTTCTCTCCAGGAAGACAGTCCACCGATTTGAATTCATTATTCTCTGACAGGGGCGGAGGGGTGGGAAGGAGCTCAACCCAAACTGGGTGAGCTGTGGGCCCCGGCTCCCAGCCACAACTCGAGCACCACTCTTTCCTGGGTGGTTCTGCTCTGCATGCTCGGTGTCCCGCACAAGCGGACTGGGTTCTGGTTGCAGCTCGTATGCAGTGATCTGGTGGCCGCAGGTCTACGGGCTCAGCTCGGAAACTGGAGGACCTAAGTCTAGATAGACTTCTTTCCTCTTCTGCAGTAGTAATACCTGTCTCTGCCATACTAGCGGCCTCCTTGACTGCCCCCTACCGGGTTCTCGGGACTTTTTTTTTTTTAATTGAAGTATAGTTGACACACAATGTTCTGTTAGTTTCAGGTGTACAACATTGTGACTCAACAAGTTTATACATTACTCAGGGCTCATCATAAGTAGTCACCACACAGTTGTTACTGCGGTATTATTGGCTATATTCCTGATGCTGCACTTTTCATCTCCATGACTCATTTATCTTATAATTGGAAGTTTATACCTCTTAATCTCTTTCACTTATTTTGTCCATCTCCCCATCCCCCTGACAACCACCAGTTTGTTCTCTGTATTTATGAATCTGTTTCTGTTTATTTTTGTATGCTTATTCATTTGTTTTGTTTTTAGATTCCACATATAAGTGAAATAAGGCTTTCGTCTTTTTGGTCTTTCTCTTGTGGCTGATCTAGCTTGCTGCTTGGTCTTCATCTGCAGACACTGTAATTAATTTCAAAACACTTTTCCTTTATTACAACACAGGACCCCTCTTCCCCCTCTCCATCATCCTACAAGTAATGACTCCAGCCTGCAACCTCCTGGCTAGTGCTTTCCTCTTTATGGCATTTAACTACTTTGTTATGTGAACAGTATTTGAGCTTCTATTGTCTTGCCCCTGGGAAAATGTCAAGGTTAACACTAAGGGGACACAGATACTGCAGGGTAATCTTCAGGGTGGAAACTTTTTTTTTTTTTTTTTTTTTACAAGGCAGGAGGCAGGCCAGGAGCTCTGAGAAAGAGCTGTGGGGAATGATTCCAGCAGGTTAAGACCCTATCCTCATTAAGATCAACTGAACTTTAGCTCTTATCTGAGCAGGAGGAAAGACCTTCAACTGCAGGGCCTCTGGTGTACAAAGCAAACACAGTGGAGGTGGATAAAGCGGGTTTTATGCCTGTGTGGTGAGCAGCTTAGCAGTAATTTATGAATGAGTCAGCACGACCACAGACCCTCATCAGGGAACACTGACCAGTGGGAGGGCCCTTACACAACTCACACAAAACCGTCCTTTCGAAAGAACAGACTTCAGACCTTGCTAACCAACAAGTTAGCGAGAAGCTTCACAGGGCTTTCTCAGAGCCACAGAGGTGGTTCCGGGTGCACAGGGTCAACTGGCTTATCTCTCCTCTCCATTCCTTTCCAGTGAGGAAGAGGAGGCTCGCAGACTTGACTGGGCCCATCATTCCCAAGGTCCGAAGTGGCGTCTAGTGTGTGGAGGGGACGACCGTGCCTTTGAACTGCATAAGTTCTACTGATAATCTGTGCTCTGCAGTGGAAACCAGAAGGCAAAATGCCGGCACAAAACCCTTTCATGGTTCAGTTCTTTATGCACTAAGGTTTTAGGTTAACTAGTGGTTGTAGTTGGAAATTTTATAAACTATGGTTAATGTGAAGTTTTTCTTTAGTCATAGAAGTTCAGTCTGGTTATTATTTAAAAACTAAGAAGATCCCCAGCCGACAGATCTTACTGGAGATGTTCTAGCAGCAGGACTTAGCCCTGGGAGCCCAGTTTCGGTGGCCTTGCTGCATGGTGTTTCAGGGGTATTTAGAATGTGTAACACAGGAACAAACAGCCCACTCTTCCGCATGGTGGGGAAGCATTATAAAATACTTTATTATGAATTTAATCTTAGGTATTTAGCAAACAGATCATCATTCTTTATTAGCCCTCCTTTAAATTTGAAGAACCTCAAGATTAAAGTTGCCAAATTGATTACTGGGTCAGGAACACAATTTTGCCCTTCAAGAAAGAGAGACTGAAGCCACAGAGCTCTGCCAGGAATCCAGGAACGTGAGATTCCTTTTGCTGGATACAAGGAAATGATGAAAAAGCCAACGGTGAAATTTCAAGTTTCAAAAACCATCCTTTCTTTACCAATCCCAGGCAACAAACATTTCCCTGAGTGTTCTTTATGAACATCTGGGATCTTTTTAAAGTTTAATATTGGAATCGGAAAGAATTTTTTTCCTTACTGAATGCCATCTGCAATGATGTGAAAACCTATGGCCAAATACTTGAAAATACCTTTCCATGTTGCACAGTGGTCCAATGGCTTATGTGAGGTAAAACACTAGAGTGAAATTTCTAGTCCATCGTAGCTCTGCTTACAGACTCCAACCATGTGTCACATCACTTATTAGACAAGTCACCACTGATCTCATGCATGTAAATTAAGCCTCTGAAAGCCAATGGTGAAGAAAATCCAGGTGTTAAAGAATTAGGAAACCCTGGCCAAACCATCCCAAGATGATTATTCTGAAAATGTAATAATGGTGTTTCTGCCAGATCCCTTTTTAACATCATGTGTATCTCTTGGGATCCAGCAAAAATGTTAAGCCACAATGCCCTTGTGCCTTTTAATATACCACAGTGCCAGTTAAACTAGCATTTCTGTTGCTTGGGAGTTATTTTCATGAGTGATTCAGCAAATCTTATGATAAAGGACAGGCCAAAGAGCTGACGAGCACAGACTAAGCTGCGGAGCACTGAGCAGAGGCTTCTGACGAAAAAGGACAAGTCTTGCACACTGAACTGTAATGATGTGGCTGGTACAGGGTAACCAGAGGTGGAGCCAGGGCCTCACCACTATGGAAGAGTGTCTACCAAGGCTGCAGATGGGCCCGGGCGTGGCACCACACTGTTGGGATGGCCAACCCCACTAGGCTTCTCCTTGAGACACACCTGCAGCTGTATTCTGCATCACTGGAAACTGCAATATAATATTAAATCTGTTGGTCTATGGATGGTCGTGTATGTGTTTCTTGTGGCTAGTGTGACCCGGACATGAACCTGACACGTTGGCCGGAGGCTGGGAAACTACTCCGGCAGTGCCGAATGACCTCACTCAAAATGTGGTTCTATCCCGCGACGTTCATCTCCAAACTGCCCCAAACATCAGTGTCCTCAAGCTAATGTGAATCTTTCAAAGACCATACTTAAAAGCTTAGAGTGTGGGTACTGGGGGAAGCAAAGACCTTTAGGGAGAGATCACTCACAGAAACCAAATCAAAAATGAAGGTGGGCCACCTTTCAGACCACCTGTTCCATCAGGGGAGCAGGGTTTAGACCTGGGGATGTTGGGTTTAGACCAGGGGATGGCAGTTTTTTCCTATAAAGGGGCCAGATTGCAGATATCTTCGGCTTTGCAGGCCATAAGGTCTCTGTTGTAACTACTTAATTCTGCCATAGATCATATGTAAATGAACAGGTGTGGCTATTCCAATAAAACTTGATTTACAAAAGCAGAAGGCGAGTCACATGCCATGGTCTACAGATCCTGACTGAGTTTCTCAGGCTGCCAGAGATGAGGGCAGGAGTGGATGTAGGTGATGGTAGGTAGCAGGAGAGGCCTGCTTCTGAGGAGTCACCCTCCAGGGCTACAGCCTTCATGCTTTTGCCACCAGGATCACCAGGTCTGCTGACAAGACAAATGACTACTACCAGCCTGCTGCATGGCACAGAAAGGGCATGACCTGGTCACCAGGCTCAAGGCTCTCTCCCCCAGCAGCGCTGGGATCCGACACAGCTCACCTTTTTTCTGTGCTCTGGCATCTTCTGAGTCAAATGTCTCAGGTAAGTGGTCAGCACCCAACTCCCTCTTCCTGGCCCTCTGAAGTTCAGGTGGCCAATATCGTACCCAGTTTACGATGCTGGCATTGCCAGCATTCAAGTTCAAGTCTCTGTTGCTGCAGCTCTGACACTCTCCAGGGTGTGGTCACCGTGAACTAGCTTTGCGAAGGCCTAGGGAAATCCTGCTGCTGCCACTCCCACGAGCACGGCCCGCCCCCACCAACACCCGGCCCCGGCCCGGGGCTCACGGGGAGCCGCACCTGCTGTGGCAGTTCGCTGGGTATGCGTGCCCGTCGGGCTGTGCACTCACATTCCTCTTTAAAGCGGCTCTGGGTGCGACTCAAAGCCAGCCTCCTCCCTTTGTCTTGACATGTGACACAACAGGCTGTGAATCCTTGTCGCTGGCAAGCAGGGCAGGCCAAGATGAGCTGGCGGCACTGGGGAGTGGAGCAGAGTTTGTACTGGTCCCATGGGGCTCCACAGTATGAACATTCTGGGGAAGAAAGAAAAGCCCCAGTTCCAAACACATACATACATGTGTACACACGTAGACAGGCACTTCTCCAGGTCCTAAATATAACTCTTGGCACGGCAGCGAATATACCCCGTTGGGCCCGGGAAGGTTTTAGATGGTCTCCTGTCCTCTAATAAAAATTGCTCCCTCACCCCCACTATTTGTGTGTGTGTGTGGGGGGGGTCATCTGGGAATTGTCTTCCTGATTCCAACATTCAGTGACCCATTTTTTTCTTTTTCCTATTTAGAAAACAGTATTGTTTCTTCATTCCAAAGCTGGTCAACTACCCCTTAGTTCAATGGTCTTTTTCCTTTAGATCATTCCCTTTTTCATGGGAGACAACATATGTGAATACAAATGATCCCACATCTCTAATCAGCTTCTGCAGTCCACGCCCCTCCTCCCCAAGCCTGAAGTTCTGCTGTTGCTAATGGACACCTCACCACCCGATTCCTAAAAGATTCCCATTATCTATTTTCTCAGCCCATGTTTCCCTGCTGACTTCCTGTTAGCACTGACGACAACATCATTCTTCAAGTCCCCTTAATTAGTATTATCTAAGCTACCTTTGGGCCTTCTCTCTCGCCTTCACACTCACATCCAAGTACCCATCAAATCCTGCCAACATTTCCTCAGTAACATTTCTCAAATCCACTATTTCTACTTATTTATAATTTATTCTCCATCTAGCTCCAAAACAGATTTCGAGTAGCTTTCAGTAAGAGACACAAATACAAGGCCATTAAAATTAATAGAAAGATCAAGAAGAAAGGGGAGAAGGCAATCATACTCAAATCTTACTCACTGTCACACTGGTGATTCAGTCTTAGTCCCTGATCATAGGAGTTCTAGAAAATTACAAGAGCCCCTAGGGTTGTCTGCCTATGACCCTTCTTCCTGTTTGAAACTATGGCATCCAGGGGCAAGAGCCACTTTTCTTGAAGATTACTTCCATCCCCCTTTTACTGACCTCATCTGACACCTGAGGACTTAAAACTACAGTCAAACCACAGGCCTCTTGAGCACACCCTCTCGTGGCCACCCCTGCCTCTTGGAATGCCCCAGCCAGCACTCAAAAGTACCTAAGCTACCACATGTGTCTGTAGACCTCGAGGTTCTTAAAACACACAGGATTTTAAAGGAAACCACATTTTTAAAAATCTGTGATATAGTGAAGATATTTATTAATACATTAAATAAGTAAGAAGACGGGGGTGGAGGGCTAATAACTACTACTTTGAGACAATGATGAACAGAAACGCTATTTGGAGAAGTCTGCAGCAACTGTAATATATGAAAATATTTTGGTTTCTGTTGATGACAAAGTCACTGGTGCATCTAACATTACTGATTTGTTGCTTACATTAACAATCAAAGGAAGTGTGACATAGAGTGTGGGGTGGTGAAAATAAAGATATAATTATTTTCCCATCCAAATTCACACAGAACTGCCAATTCTACAACTCCTGGTTAAGACCCTTGTTTCAGCCTATTAGTTCAACTCCCAGTATAGAGGCAGAGCAAGTGACATCATCCGCACTGTAAAAGACTTGCCTAACTAGTAAACAGGGAGGCTGGGACCCAGGACAGGCCTCCCGGTTCCTGGTCCAGGGTTCTGTCTGTTCCACTGCTGCATCTCCAACTCTGCTGAGAAATGGTCCTACTACGTTACTTCTTTCCCCTGTTTTCTTCTTCACATAACCAGTACTGGCCTGCCTTCCAGAATGGTTCATAGAACGTGCCTGATCACGAGTTTAGGGTCCAGCCTGTGCTGACCTACCTGAGACTATATCACTGTTGTAGGATAAGGCATAACGCTCATCAAAAACAAACAACTTCCCTTTGTAGAAACCATCGGGAAACTCCTCCAGGTACTTGTGGATGCCACCCTTGAGCTGGAACACTTCCTTGCACACTCCCTATGTGAGGAAAAATGAGGAAATTTAAGGAGACAGGCAAAGACTGGTAAGAAGCTCCACAGACGAGTGGCAGGTGATGAGAGCAGTCAGGGCCTTCACTAGATCCTGGGAAGCCCAGCTATTTTTGCTGCCTCCTAAATATAGAAAAACACCTGTTGGAACATGTAATGTGCATTTGTTCTTCTCAGGATCAAGCATATGGATTAGGAAAAGGGAGAGGTTAACTAAGCTTTCCCTTCTGTACTTGATGAGGCTCTAAGACTGTGAAGTGCTTTCCCACATCTTGAGATTTAAGAATTTCAGCTTTTGTACTTACAAACTCTATGCTGGAACGATTCAAGGGAAAAACAAATCCCTGGCGGGCCGGGGGTGGGAGGGGGGTGATGTCGGGGGTGGAAAGCTCAACACATGCTGTTGGTGGAGCCTTCTTTACCTCCAAAGCCCGCAGTGCCCCCAAGGGTGTTAACTCACCTTGGCTTTGAGGTAGGCTGAACCCCGCTCACAGCGGATGCCCCCAGTGCAGTACATCAGCACCTTCTTCTCTCTGAAAAGTTCTAAGTTTTTGTCGATGTAGCTAGGGAAGTAACTGAATTTCCTGATGTTTGGGGCTAAGCAGCCCTGGAATCGTCCCTACGATATAGGAGAAGCAGAAGGAAAATTATCAGAAAAATACGCCTGGTAAGAACAAAGCATGTGTCAACCCCGCTCAGAGCCCCTTGGCAAGGGAGCACTCACTAGCTGCTGTTCTCATCCTGCACTCTAACCTTTCAACTTCAAGATCTGGAACTCAGACCCAAGGCTGGTGGGCTCTGGGTCATCTTCCCAGAGTCCTTAGGGGAACTGGAGAGGAGGCCCAAAGCCAACTTTATAGGATCCTCGACACACGTCAAAGGTAGGCACATGGGAGCCAAGAAGTACATTATGTGCGAAGATGTCTTTAAGTCCTCTTTTCTTAGATTTTCTCACCAGCTCCTGAGTTCAAAGGCTTGGGTTTTCTCCGAAGCTGTTAGCAGTGGGGGGAGATCTAGGTGACTTGGCCACAGGTACGCACACATGCATCACTTGGCCAACAGGCCATGATGTGGGAAGGGGGAGACCTACCATTTCACTGAACTCGCTTCTGCTCCTTACTTACTATTTTGCTTTCATAGAAGTTTCTGCAGTCCAGTAGGATAGTATCACTTTGTTCTTCATTTGCCTGAGACAAAAACTTTTCTACTTCTTTATGAAATTCACCTGGGGATAAATGGATTCCTAAAACCAAACCAAAAATTTACTTAAAACAAGACAAAAACAAACAAAAAAACAATCACAGCTAGCCCAGCCTGATGACTTAGATGTTGCTCTGTTTCCTTCCACCCAAAACTTTATTCATAATTGCAATGTCTGAAAATAACACTACCTGATGACCATGATGAAATTATTTAGTGAGTCCAGATATCCTCACTTTCCTTCCTCCAAAGATAAGCACTACGGAGACCTGGAGGTTTAGAAATGATTAGTCAAAGAATTTTCCATCCTCATACTTGGTCTAACCCAGTGATAAAAGCCAGGCAGTTGGGATCTAAATTGCCATGTGGGTTTGCTGGTCCATTATACAGCCAGTGTTCTATTTTCAGTGTACATGGAAGAGCCTAGGCATGTATGTGCTTGACCATAGGCTTCTGACTATAATAAAGGCAAGCCCAAGTTCAAGGCTAAGAACCTGAACAGGCAGCTTAAGAGTATAAATTTGTGGAATAAAGTTGGACTGTTCTTTATAAATACCAAAGGGTAAGAAGAATGTGTCTAAATCTGTGTGCATGAGTGAAAGAGAAAGGGTGGCAGGGGCCGAGGGTAGGAGTGACACATGAGAGCAGTGCAGAGGGAGAGAAGGAGGAAAAAGCTAAGGCAGACAGGAGAGAAAGGAGAGGAAAAAAAGTCAAATCCAGGGAGACTAAAAGGAGAGCACCTCAGTCTGGTGGGGTCCCTGGTCTTCTCAACTCTCTAGAATAGAAATACTCCTGTATCTTTGGAGGTCCAGACATCCCAGTTGATTGTCAATTCGGCAGTGGGGAGTAACCACCCCTCATGGACAGGAGCTCTGGGGATGGCAGTCACCACTCGTGGTAGAGCCTGATGGCACCAAAGGAACCTCATTCTGCTCAGAGGTGAACCCCAAAAACCACCTGAAGCTGCCAAGTACCCAGATGGGGCTAGAGGTCTCAGAGCATGGTCAAGGAATCTGGATTCCTACCTGCCCAACCCAGAATTGTAAGGCGAATGTAATGAGGCCAGAATTGATTTGTTATCACCTAATGACATGGTCACCAAAACAGGGGGTGCAAACGGAGGTTCAAAACTGTGATGAGAAGCATGGGAATCTGCTAAGACTTATACTGACAGGGCGCTATGGGGAACCAAACCTGTTCACCACTGCTGCTCTCCTGGCCCTGCGAAGGCCTGTCTGGACAGGGACTCATAGGGATATGTTTACAGCAGGTGCCTTCAAACAACGTGGCCCAAATGACAGCAGCCCAGCATTGCCTGGAGCCCACTCTCCCCCAACCTCCCAAGCAATGGCCTATACCACCAAGAAAGAGCTCTTTAGTCATCTTGCTGAGGTAGGGACACTGTGCAGACACAGCCCTTTTGGGCCCTTCTCTCCTCATGCATGAGTCTCTTTTCCTGGATATTTGTGTCCTACTCGCATTTCTCTCTGGCTTAACCCCTAGCATTTGTTTAAATAGCTACATATTGGAAAGTGAACAGAGACAACCAGACTTTTGTGCTTCCTAATGAAAGAGGACAATACTACCTATCAGTCTTGGGGGGGAAAAGAAGGAAAAAAAGAAAAAAGGAAGTCAAATCTGAATCTAACCAAGTCTCTGGATCTGAGGTATCTAACAGAATAGCCACTGGCCACATGGGGATATCAGGCTCTTGAAATGTGGCCGGAGATGTGCTAGAATAAGGGTGACACAGATCCAGGATTTCAAGTACTTAGTATGCAAAAAAAAAGGTAAACTATCTCATTAGTAATTTTTTACATTGATTACACATGGAAGTATTTTGGCTACACTGCATTGAAGCATATTATTAAAATGAATTTCACTTGTTTCCTTTTAAAATGTGACTACTAAAAAACATAAAATTACATATGTGCCTCATGTTATATTTCTATTAGCACTGCTCTAAATCTAACTACCAATCTATAGGAAATACAGAGCACAGAGGAGATGCAATCAGCTTTAGCCAGACTGTGGGAAACTCTATAGACAAAATGACCTAGTTCCTTCAAAAAAATAAACTGAAAGGGGGGGGGACAAAAGGGAGGCAAAGATATAGGTTAAAAGAGACTTAAAGAGACACAGGGATCCATCACAATGAGTGGACCTTACTTGAACCCTAATGAAAACAAACTTAAAAAATTATGAGATCCCCATGGGTATGGACTTCTTCAAATACGCTAACACACAATTCTGGAAAACACCATGTTCCTCCTTTGCTGGTCTCGCCAATTTTAAGTACTGGCTAGATATTTCATAATAAAGGAATTACTATTAAAGATGTTTTATTTAGATATAATAATGGTTTAACAGTTATTTTTTTTAATGTTTATCTTTTAAAAGTCTCTTTTAAATATTTATGAATGTAATGACATGACATTGGAATTCCCTTCAAAATAATCCAGGATGGGGGAAGGGGACAGGGTATAGAAGAAGGTTGGCAATGAATGAGTAATTGCTGAAGCTGTATGACAGGTACATGTGAGTTCACTGTATTGTTTTCTGTACTTTTTTTGAACGTTTGAAAATTTTCATAGTAAAAAGCAAAACAAAAACATAAAACACACCAAACAAATGTCTTTCAACCATCTATGGTAACCATGGGGAAGAAGGGGAAGAGAACATTCTAGAACACTTGCAAACAAACTGCTCTGGATTTGAAAGCCACTTACCTCCTGTAGCAATAAGCCTGTGTGTTATTCAGTTTATGAACTATTTACAAGTAATAATTACACTCTTCCCAGATTGCTACCTTTGGAACAAGAAAACAACTTCTTGCCAAATCATCAAGAAGAATAAGACAGAGCATTCTAAGAGGTGAGTCTTCAATTACCATAAAGCCAAAGAAAAGACCAGTTTAAGCACTGAATAACTGACAGGCTAGCTACCCCATAGCTTTTTTTTTTATAAGTATAATTAACATACAACGTTATATTACCTCCAAGTGTACAATATAATAATTCAACAATTCTGTATATTACTCAGTGCTTATCATGACAAGTGTACTCTTAATCCCCTCTATCTATTTCATCCACCTTCCCTCCAGCAACCACCAGTCTGTTCTCTGTACCTAAGAATCTTTTTTGTCTCTTTTTTCTTTGTTTCTTAACTTCCATACCCCAAAGCTATTTTAAAGAGTGGATTGTTGATCAGAGTGTCTGACTTCCACATTTGTTTCTATATCAAGTTTTGTCCCTCTGCAGAAAAGCAAAATTTTTCTTCTAAAAGCAAGCATACCAGGCTTCTTGTAGGAGATCTTATTGGGACTGATCCCCATGGGCACAATTTCTTCAAATACACCAACACGCAATTCTGGAAAACAGCAAGCCCCTCCTTTGCTGGTCTAGCCAATAAGAAGCAAAACAGAACACAGTCTTACTCTCCCATCTTCAGATATAAGACAAGTGCCAAATACAAGAATTATATCTGTTCTGTAATAATATGATAGCTGAAGTCTTAAGAAACCTCAAAGTAAGAACTAATGTTTTAATGGGAAAAGGGAGTTAGGGCCTAAAGTGTTTCAGATAATTCAACACTAATAAATATTTATTGCATACCCACCACGTACAGAAATGTTAAATTGAAAAGGTGTTTCTATGACTATAAGCATTTAACTATAAAACTGAAACACCACTGAGTGATTTCATTATAAAAGTTTACACCCTAGCTTTTGCTCTGGAGCAATGACCTTTCTTTCCCTACCACCACCAGCACTAACACTAGGTAACGTATTCCCCACCTTTATCACCTACTATGCCAAAGCACAAGGTGACTCAAACAAAGGAGCTCAGCTGTGAGAGCAACAGCTTTATCCCCCATGTGGTATGAAGTGCTGGTCTTGTAATTCCAGGTTTACTAAAAACAAAGTGATGCCCTGAAATAGCCAGGTGGTCCCTCAAGTGAGCAAACATATCTAAGTTTAGAGCTAGATTGTGCAAACTGTTATGTCCTTATTCTACAAGAAGGGAGACTGAAATCCAAGAGGGCATTAACTTGCCCAAGACCACATGGCAACTTTGTAAAGAACTGGAATGCGCATGCTCCTTTGACCGCACGCACTGCCTCGCAGCCTCCTGGGGAAGGGGTATTTATCTGGCACTGCTTCTTTCTCCACACTGCCCGCCTCTTCAGGGCCTAGAGCAGGAAGAGGCACTGAGGCAGAAGCAAATGGCTCTAAATCCATTTTATTTTCAATTTCTCTTACCTTAAAATCATCCTTACACATATAATCCTTAAACAAGGGGCAGGAAAGCATGACTTCCACATAGAGTCTGGTGGCCAGTTTGCTTCCACCAACTGTCCCATTGATTCCTTCTGTAGCAATTCGAACCTGGGACACAAGATGGTGAGAGAAAGGAAATGCAGCCTGTTCTTAGCTTAGTTTAAATCTTCCCAGGGTAGAACAGGCTTGTGTGTGTCCATGAGTTTAATGGGAAAAGCCGAGACACAATAAAAGTGTTACCACATGAAGATACCTGTAGCTTTCTAAATGGCACTGCCCACCATCCAGACAAGGTACACAACAGATGTGCACTGGACCAGAGAATGGAATGAATGAAACTTCTGGAAAGCCCCATTTGCTGTCCAATGACCAAAGAAATAAATTTCGAGCTTAACCTAAATCCAGGTCAGCAGATGTAGGATCAAGACTCAGCTTTGCCACTTACTTGCTGTGCGGCCCTGAGAAAATTAACTTACTTCTCTGAAGTAAGTTTGGGGGGAAGCACACGACTGCAAACCCACCCACTGGAATGCAAGTTCCATAGCGGTATGTGTCTCTGTTGTTCACTGCTCCATCACCAGTGCTTAGAACAGTGCCTGCCAGGTAGATACTCGATTCGTATTTGTTGAACAAATGAACGTATATCCATTCTAGAGACTTCCTGGCCTATCAAACGCTGTAGTCTCTTTGAAATGCTTCAGTGGCTAGGGGACTTTAGAACCTGGGTTGAGGCCCCTGCCTTAAGAGGCAATGCTCAGGGGGGCCTGCAAAGTTAGTTGTCTTGGTACTACCAAACCCTGTGGATGAGTTTACAGATGGATCACCTTTAGGAGCTGAGCTCTCTAGAGCAAAGTGCTAGAGAGAAAGGACAACACTCTAGTATCATGGTACTCTATGGAAAGAGAGGTCCTGTATTGTTACTACCACTTATATAACAACCATATCTACCAACGCATTAGAATTTGGAAAATGTAAAAGGCTGTCCTTTTTCAGGGCCCAGAGAAGATACTTTATTTGTTGCTCAGTTGATCCTTTAGGGCACGGATACAAATGGGATTCATTTCATAAGCCAATGCCAACTCACAAGCAGTGGCTAGCCAGAGTTCCATGACGAGGATTCTGGATCACATTTAGGCTCCTTGAGAAAGTACTGCAACCTGATAAAGCCTGTTCTGGGTATGGGAGAGGAAAGTAGAAAGAATATGCCATCTCTGCTGTACAGACTACTATCCTACCAACCAACTTCTATTTTTTCAAGGGTCTACACAGAAAAATAGAGGTGAACCAAAGTGTCAGGAAATCTACTCTAAAACTGTTTTTGACTGTGGCAGTTAAAGTACATACTTCTACGTAACTGTCTTCAGGGAAGGCTAGTAAATTCTTTCCTATGTTATTTTAATCTCAAAACCCAAATAAAGGACAAGCACACCTAATCCCTCTATCGCTGGGGCAGAGCAATCTCTAAGCTCATACACTACTAGACTTTCAATCCCTAAGATTGTCCAAGACAAACCGTCAAAGTGGCTCCCTGGTGAGGAAGGCCTTATACCTCAGGGATGGAGAGAGATAGTTAGCATTTATTGAGCACCTACTATGATAGAGGAGCTTTATATTATAATCCTAAAAGGTAGATATTATAATCTCCATTTGACAGAAAAGGAAACAGAAGCTCAGAGAAATCAAGTAACTTGCCCAAGGGCACAGAGATGGTAGGTAGTAGTCTGGGATTCAAAGCCAGATATCAATCATTCCAAATCATGTAATCTTTCCCTTCCGAAGCCTTCAATGTGTCCCCTCAGGTTTCTTGAGGCAAAAGGAACGTGTAGCAATAGGAATCAGAAGCTTCTTTCTAGAATTTTCAAGTTCTCTTCTTTCTCTACCTAAATGCCAATATTCTGCCAAATCTCCCACCAGAAAACTACCTCAGTAAACTGGGCATGTATCACTGAAGCCAAAGGATTTAGACTAAGATTCAGGCAGGTGCTGCCACCTTGTGGGTGGGGACCCTCATTGCTAATTCACCTCAGGCTGGGCTAAGAATAAAAATCTGGCCCCCAAACAAGGAAAGAGATTGATTTCATATTTTGTACATTCAGGTTCACTGTGAGAACATCCATCTTTCACGGTGTTCTCTAAATAGAGGTGACAATAAATGTAATTCATTCCAGGGGCACCTGGGTGGCTCAGTAAGTTAAGTATCAGACTCTTGATTTTGGCTCAGGTCTTGATCTCATGGCTGTGAGGTGGAGCCCCATGTCGGGCTCCACGCTGGACATGGAGCCTACTTTAAAAAGTTTTTTTAAAAGGTATTCATTCCACAAATGTTTACTACTTTTTTTTTTACTATGCGCCAGGAACTGTGTTAGAGGAGTTAAGGATCTAGCAGTTAAAAAAATAAAAATAAAAAAAAGAGTTCTTGCCCTCTTAGAGCTTCCAGACTAGGGAAGGTCACAGATATTAAGATAAAAGTTACAAAGTGACAAGAGCTACGAAAAATAACCACAAGATGCTATGCAAGAGCATACTGGGAAAAGTGAACTTGGACTGAAGGTCAAGAAAGTTCTCTTTGAGGAAGTATCACTGAAACTGAGAAGTGAAGACTGAGTAGAAATTTTACAAGCGAAACGGAGTGGGTATGTGAGAGTTCCTTGAAGAGGATTTGCCTGGAAAAAGCCCAAAGATACAAAAAAACCCCAACAAACCAAAACCTTTGTGGGCTCCAAAACCTGAAAGACCGTGTTGCTGGAGTCTGGTGAGTGAAGAATGACATCAGACAGACGGAAAAGGTAGGAAGGGGCCAAATCATGCAGGAACCTAAGGGTATGTTAAGGATCTAGATTTTACTCTAAAGGCACTGACAGCCACTGAGAGATTCCGAGCAGCAGTGTTTAATCTACCTCTTAAGAAGATTCTGGCTGCTGGGTAGAGAATGGGTTAAATGGCAGACAAGGACAGGACAAGATGGTTTAAAAGCTACTGAAGTGGACGAGAGAGTGGTCTCAGGTGGTGGAAGGGGACGGGGAATGAATGAGGCAAGGGATGTTGTAGAGGTAGAAAGGGCAGGGCGTGATAATGAACTGAATGAGGTAAAGGAAGCTTTTGGCACCATCTTTTAGGAAACATGGGTGTGGAAAACATCACTGATCAAACGACTGCCTCGGGGACTTAAAACATCTGTGGAAAAGAATAGGCTTAAGATAGTACAGTGTCATACCCCAAGGGGACCTCAGAATGAACCTAGTTCATTTCCTTTTAAGTTTACAAAACTATATCATCTCTCTCTCTGTTTTTACATATATATGTTTATTTGCAGATATGTATACATATGCATATATAAATCTATGTCTATATATGTGTGTGTGTGTATGTAATCATCAAGAATGTTTTAGAAAAGGGGCGCCTGGGTGGCTCAGTTAGTTAAGTATCCAACTCTTGATTTCTGCTCAGGTCATGATTTCAGGGTTGTGAGATGGAGCCCGCCTCTCTCCCTCTCCCCTGCCCCTGCCCTTTTTGAGAAAGAGAGCGTGCAAGTGAGCTCCTGCACAAGGGAGGGGAGGGGGAGAGGGAGAGAGAGAATCTTGAGCAGGTTCCACACTCAGCGCAGAGCCCACCACTGGGCTCGATTTCACAACCCTGAGATCACAACCTGAGCCAAAATCAAGAGTCAGACACTTAACTGACTGAGCCACCCAGGTGCCCCACCTCCCTTTAAAAAAAAAAGAAAAAAAGAATGTTTTAGGAAAATAACAAAAACCATCCACAATCTTATCATGCAGACATAATCGTGATTAACATTTTGCTACCTACTACCTTCCATCTTTACACACAAACACTTGTGATTTTGTTACGAACAAAATATGTTCGGTGCTTTATTCAACACTCTCTGAATAGTTATTGTCTGCTATGTGCCAAGCCCTGTTCTAGCACTAAGAATACATCAATTAATTAAGACAAAGTTCCTGTCCTCACCAAGCTTTTATTAGGGAAGACAGATTGTAACAAATTAAACAAATATTATACTTTCAGATGGTAACAAATTCTTTGATATTCTCCGAGCAGAAGGAGGTGGTAAGATTTAGAGAGAGGACCACTTTGGATCAGAGTTCTGAGGAGATGACATGTATGCAGGCAGACATCTGAAGTGAGGAACGGGCCACGCAAAGATCTAGGGGGAAAGCATTCTAGAGAGAAGGAACAGCAAATGTCAATACCACAAACTGGTAAAAGACCCTGGCGTGTTCCAGGAAAATTAAGAAGCAACTTCGAATCATACTGTACGTATAGTTCCGTGAGTTTTTTTCCAGCCAACATAGCAAGAACATCTCCTAATGCCAGGGATTGTACCTGCTGCTGCATACAGCTTAATCGGGACACAGCCATACCCATTCTTACACCTATTGGTTATGGTTGTTTTCATGTTACAATGGCAAGGCTGAGGAGGCTCTGTTTGTTTAGGAAACATATAATTTATTAGATGGACTTAAAAATCAACAACATCAGGGGTGCCTGGGTGGCTTAGTCCATTAAGTGTCCAACTCTTGGTTTCAGCTCAGGTCATGACCCCGGGGTTATGAGATCGGGCCCCACGTCAGGCTCCGTGCTCAGTGTGGAGTCTACTTGGGGTTCTCTCTCCCTTTCCCTTTGCCCCTCCCTGCACTCACACTCTCTCTCTAAATAAAGTCTTAAAAGAATCAACAAAATTGATTTTAGACACTTCTTGAGTACAGACCACAGGAATTTTCTACCAAAGAACAGCTTACCTAGCAGTCCAGATCATAAAGTTGTACACTTTTTGTTTTTAAACAATATACAACGGCTAGACAATTGATAAGAAATACTGCATAATTAACCCAACTGTATCTTGTTAGAATTTCTTCACAATTCCACACACAATTTTAGGGTTTAATAGAAGCAGGAGTGAGTAGTTTTTGTGCAAAGCCTAAAATACTCACTATTTTGCTCTGTAAGAAAGTTTGCTGACTCTTAGTCCATTAAATACTGTCATAAAAGGCAATGCTAATAACTGTTTGGTAGTCTACTTAAAAGCCTTGCAGGATTTCGCAGACTTCTAAGAACCTAACAGTGAATCCTTTTTGTCTCCAGCACATCCTCTGTAATCCAAACTGGAGACAAGAGGAGTCCCACGAAGGATGGGGTGTGAGAGGTGTTACCTTGCCCGTGAGGGACAGGTGTTGACACAGAGCTGTCTGCCAGGCACACACCCAGTGGGGGTCCTCCAGGTCACGGTAGCAGTAATAAAGTAGCACCTCTCCTCCATCACTGCCCTGGCTGCTAGAAGAAGAAAACCACAGGGAAAAGCATCTGAGTCACTGGCATAAAGAACCCACAGTTCACAAAGTACACCCAGGCGATGTCAGAGGGAAGGCCGAGATGGAGCCCAACTTTGTTCTGAAAGAAGAAGCAACTCCTGTCAGTATTTGCTCTGAAGAAGACATTATCTGCACCCAACTTACTTTATAAAAGGTGAGTTTACTCTATGATTTCCTCACTTCATCATCATATAAGAAGGTTTCACTTCCATTTTTTTCATGTAATCCTCTTAACCATGAGGAGGATTATTATTATCCCCACTTTATAGCTGAGTAAACCAAGGCCAATTCCTCCCAGGTGAGTCAGCTACAGAGTGACAGTCAAGACTTGGACAACAACTCTTTCTGCTGCACTGTGCTGTCTTATACTAACTAGTCCTGGGACCTGGGCGGGTCTCTTATCATCTCTGAGACTGATTTCCTCATCTGTATGACCAGAGAAGTGAAATAAACTGCATTTCCCACTTTTGCTTTGAAGCTACTCTATGAAATTACATGTTGGAGAAACCCTGCAGACACAATCTCCCTCTTTAAGAATCTCTGTGAAAGCCCCTTATCTATTGAAGGCTCCGAAAAGTCCTCCAATAAAGGACATTTTAAGCCAGTCCTTCCCAACCTTACTTGTCTTTAGCAGCTCTTTTCAATACCTGTTAGCATCCTTCAGAACTGGTGTTGCATAGAACTTATTTTAGAGAACGCTCTGGTAGATGATAATTAAGGTCCCATCCAACTCTGGAATCTGACACTCTCATCAATACCCTCATCGTATTGCAGGGAAGACTCTCCTCTGAAACCGTGTCTATTTTAGAACCTATTTTCCTTTCTCTAAACTGCTGTAACAAATTATGATCTGCACCACACAATTTAACTGATCATTAGGTAGCCTGCCTCATATCATCTGCTAATTGTTTCATGTATCCTTTGTTTCTCTCACTAGAAAGCAAATTCCTTAAGGCACAGGGCCATACAGAGACAAAAAGGCCATGTTTGTGCAGCATCATGTAGTTCAGCGATGCTCTTACCATGCTCATTTTATATAATTCATCTAGTAACACTGTGCGGTAAGCAGGGCAGGCACCATTATTTCTACTTTAGAGGTGAGGAAATAAAGGTACCAAGAGTTTTAGTGACTAGCTCAATTCTGAATCCAAGTTCAATTCTCCAACTTGCTCCTTTTTTTGGGAAACAACGGGAATATATAACAATATATATAATCTGGTGAGTGTTTCAAAGGCAGGGGAAACTGAATACTAATGACAAAAGTATATTAAATTTGGACGTTTTCTATTCACCAAATAGTTCAGAAATTGCTTAAAACCAGACATTTGTCCTCTTGAATTCTGTAATATAATCTGGTGAGTTTTTCAAAGACAGGATCAAACTTCTAATCCTATGCCCCAGTTCTAGAAGTTAACATCCTTTCTAAAACGTACTCAACTCCAGAGAACATGTGGTACCAAAAACCGGTTTTTAAGCTCTAATGTTATTCAGGGTAGAGGGATCATTAAGATTTCTGAGCCTTCCATTTTCTCTCTGAAAAATAATACAATGTTCTGTTCATTACCTGTCCCTAGAGAAGATTAGGCGTAGCCTTCCACGGAATGTAGTGGACGCTGCAGCTGCGTGGGTACATGCTACTGCTTCTGGGATACGCAGCATGTGGTTACTGGCCTCACTTAGGCCCACAGAGAAATTCTGTGCCTTAAAGATCTTGCCATTTTCGTGGCTAGGTAGTGGTGTCTCACTGTGACTGGAAAGACTTTTAAAATTAAATCAAAGTACAGAATGAAATTCTTACCTTATCAGCTCATCAGGGCTAAAGCAGCTTATATCAGGGAGCCAAGCAGACACTTCACGATTACAGGTAAAGTACTCTTTTAGAGGGTTCCTGCTGTCTTCAGACTTAAGGCCCTTAGAGGTGTTCGGTGTCACAGCCAGCTGCTTTAACAGAGAAGCAGTCTGGTGGCAAATCTCATCAGCATGTTGTGTTGCCACATGTCTGTGGATGCTGATCCGGTCTCTGAAGAGCTGTTGACAGCATTTCCACCATTTTTCTTTACATTCAAAAGGACGTGCTGGAACTTCTTTGGTTTTGACGAAAAGGGCAAATGCCTGCAATTACATTTCAAATATGCCACCGTTAACCTTAATTTTAAAGCTGGCAGAAGTCTTGGTGAATTCCTTATATTATCTTTCCACATGGGTTTCTAGTTTTATGTCCTATTTTTCTATAGAAGAACTTCCTGAGAGTAACAGTTTTCTTCATAAACTTTATACCTCAATCTAAAATTTGTTAGGGAGTGGTCTTAAGGAAAGGGCTTGAATTTCAGACAACTATTAGTAAAACATTACAAACAACACTATCAGTCATTTCTAAAAAGGAAATGGTCAAGGAAATTATGGAGTATACTTACTATGGAATATTGAGGAGTTAGTTTTAAATTATGTGGGAAAATATGTATGATATGTTAAATGAAAAACAATGGATCAAATTTGTTTATACAACATAATATCAGCTACATTAAAAAGTGCACTGAAAAAGACTGGAAAGAAATACAGCAAGATGTTTTGACTTGTTTCTTGGAAAACAATTTTATTGTTTTTATAAAAATGATTTATACTCATTGTTTAAAAAAATGAAACAGAAAACTATGGATGTACCATAATTCTCTTAACCAATTCCTAACTCGTGGCCATTTTTGTGTTTCCAATATTTGCAATTATAAGCAATGTTGAATGAGCATTCCATGCATACATCTTTCTATACCTCTTTAACCATTTAATTTAAATAAACATCTAGAATAAAATTTTGGGGGCAAAGAAACATGAAACTTAAAATTGTGATAAACAGTGACTTCCAGAAAAATCGTACCCGTTTATATGCTCACCAACAAGGTGACATTTTATCCACAGCATCAAGTTTTATCAGCATTTAATTTTTATTGTCAATATTTTTAGTGTTGACCTGAATACAAGGCAAAAGAGATATATTGTTTTTATCTGCATGTCTTTGATTGTAAGGCTGAATATTTTTTCATATCAATTCCTTGTTCTTGTATCTGTTGCCTATTTCTCTATTGTGGCATTTATTTTCTTCCCGATTTGTAAGTGGTTTTAGTGACCTTTTGTTGATCATAGTTATCACAAATTTGTTTCCCAGTTGGTCATGTTTTTCAACTTTGTGGTATTTTTGATGTACAAATAGAGGCTGAATGGGATCTATGATTATCAGCATCTCAATAATTGTTCCTTTCTGGTCTAATGGGAAGGGAGGTATTTATATATACCTCTGTGTGTGTGTGTGTGTGTGTGTTTTAACTTTTTTAATGCATCTGGAGACGACTGTAAAGCATCCAAACATAGGCACTCTAAACACTGGTAACAGATATGAAGCACCACTGTGGGACCATCCTCTAGCACACAACTGTATCTGGACTGTCTCAGACTGAAGCAGCAGGAAATTACACTGGAGAGCATTTTTTAGACTTTCTTGAAGTTAATCCTGCCAAATAGGAAAAAAATAAAAAAGAGAGAAATAGCATGTATGTCAACGTAAGTGCTTCTTCATGTTAAACTTTGATTTTCAAATCTTATCTGGTCTTTTAAGGCCTCGTGAACAAGGCATTGAGGGCCCAGCAGCAGTTAGGGCCCATGTGGAGTCTGTTCAAGGAAAGATAGACCAGGGCCAGGATGGCAGCTCAGAGGTGGGTGAGGCATACAAGGGGAAGGCAGGCCCTGGTAGGGAGGCAGCTTGGCAGGGTGGGTACATTGATTACATATAGGAGAATAAGCAAATAAGAAAATATTTGGGACCAACAGGACTAGGCCAAATCCCATCAAATAGGGAAGTTATAAATATGGGAAAGGGAGAGTTAGGAAAAATCTTGTGAGGCTGGAATGGAACTGAAAGTACTGATTATGTGCTCATGGTGTGGTTAATATTGAGATAGTAGTAAATGTAGAAGTATATATATGGTACATATATACATTTGTGTATTCATCTATGTATTTCCCTATGCCAGAGGTCCTGGGAGAGGCAACACTACTTAGTAGCAATGAGCTTGCCGTGCCTCCAGGTTTTGGTTTTTGACAGTCCTCTGCTAGAAGGAACCAGAGCTCCTTGAAGAAATGTCTGATTCCAAGGATGGGTCAGGAAAAATACAAGATAAGCCTGGAATACCTTGTTGAGTCAGAAAGTGAGGAAATGCTCAAAGAATGATGGGAACAAGTCAAAAGGATACAGATACTAGCTTGAAAGGGCTCCCAGCCAAATCTGAGATGATCTGAGGATCAAAACAAATAACAACATAATGGACTATAACTCAACAAATAAAATATAACCTGAGTCCACACAGACAGAAATAAATTGGGAGAAGAGAAAGTTCTTCCTTAGAGCAGAATGCCAAACACTAAATCTAGAAGGAACACAGCAATTAGAAAATCAAGAAAATCACCCTTTAGCAACCATCACAGTAACAATCAACTAAGCAAAGAAACATCAAAGAATCTAAAACTAGTAGATGAAACTTGGATGAGGAATAAGATAATTACACAGTCTCAAAGCATCGCCCCCCCAAATACTAAGTAATTAAAAGGGAAAAAAAATAATTTTATAGCAGAAAAATCCGACAGACACTCCCTTAATCAAGTAACCAAAGTTAACATTGCCAGCAATGGGACAAATTGCTACTATCAACTACCTGATAGATTGTAGCCACGTGAACACAGCATCTCTTGTGGGATTCTCTTGTTAATAAAAGCACTAATCTGAATCTAATTGTAAGGAAACATGAGTGAAAGTCAAGCAAAGGGATATTCTACAAAATAACTCATGTAATCTTCAAATGTGTCATGGTCATGATTTCAAAGGAGAAAAAATGAGAAAGTGCTCCAGACTGAAGAAGATATAAGATGTGACAACTCAATGTAACATGTGACCCTAGAGTGGATCTATAAGAGCCATCTGGGACACTTGATGAAATATGAATGGAGCCTGTGTATAAAGGGGATATGAGGGTCCTCTATACAATTCTGGCAACTTTTCTCTAAGTCTGAAATTATTGCAAGATAATAAAACCTTTCTGTACCCTTTGGATTTCATTTTCAAGGACACCAGTGTGAGATGAGAGCAGAGGGGTGGTGGATAAGAAGTTAGAAGCAGAGACCTCTATTCTTCATTGACATGAAGCCAACAAAAGCTAACTGCAGAAGGACAGCAGACTGGAAGTAAGAAAATTAAGTCTCAATTGCATGTCCTCGGGTCATTTTCCTTCCTATGAGCTTCAAGAGGACGAGGTTTGAGTCAATGATCTCTGAAAAAAGGATAAATGGCATAAAAGAGCAGCATATCAATATGACCTCCCATTATAATCTAATCCCAACTGTCCTCAGTAAGCTTGCACAACCATTCTGGGCTGTTCTATCCTTCTCCTAACCAACAGAACCCAGCCAACTAGATCAGATCAGGAGTCTTACATGGCAACTACCCTTCTGCCTGTCTGTTCTCCTTATGACAAGGTCTCCTGGGTTCCTGTGATTCTAACCCTAGACGGGAAAAGGAATCCAGCCCATCTGTCTAGGATCTGTCCTCAAGTACTCAAACATAAGTGTTGCATAGCTACACCTTGCCCATGATTCTTCTTTGCCAGGCTCTGACTTAAGATCATTGGATCATGACCCTGACTAGAACTTGCCTTCAACAGGGCAGCCGCCTCCTGTCTCACTAACCCTCTACTCCCTGGAGGAAAACCCTGATGATCGATGAGCTACTAATAGATGGTATCTGAGTTAACTATACATACATGATCCTGAAACATCAACGGCAATACAGTAATTTTACCTTTTTCTTGGCAAACGAGTATTTCTTCTTTGTACTGACATCTAACTCTGCTTTGAGACCGCTACTGGGATTGATAAGCCTTGTGTCTTTTAAATCTAGGTCTGAAAATCTTAAAACACAGGCCTCCAGGTCATCTCCTTGGTCTGGTGAAGTGAAAGAAGGCATCTGGTTTGGTTGCAGTAAGGTTCCTTTTAGTTATCTATCTCCTAGGAAACAAGGGAGAAACAACAATGTCAGTCTTTGCTACTTGAAATAAATTTGAAACAAATCAATCAGGCAAATGAGCATGGGCCCAGCAGCCCAAGCCATCATAAAGCAGTGAAAGAAACAGAAAAACTCCCTCTTGGAGTTTATATTCCAGTGGGGAGAGAAAGAAAGTAAATAAATGAATATATTGATTAAATTTAAAAAGTCAGATAGGAAAAAGGGCCACGAAGACAAAAAGCAGGGTAGGGAGTCAGGAGTGATGGAGGGGCTCTTAAAAACAGAGAGTAGGTAAAGTCTTTCTGAGGTGGTAGCATTTGAGCAGAAACCTCAATTAGGGGTTAGCCCTGCAAACATTTAAGGTAAATGATACCAGAAAAGCACCAGGTACAACCAAAATCAACCAAGCTGCGTGCTAGTACCTTCAGTTATAAACACTTTGTTCTTTTTGCCCTTTTAGAGCTGTGAAAATTCCATTCCTTAGATGACATAACAACTAAGAAAGCCCCATTTTAATAAACAGAAGAAATTTAAAATATAAAAATCATTAGTATGGCCAAATCTTGTCAAAATGGACATATTACCAACCCCATTCAAGCCCATCATTTCTTTTTTTTTTTTTTTTTTTGAGACAGAGAGAGAGAGAGCCCGCGCACAAGAGGGGAGGAGGGTCAGAGAGAGAGGGAGAAGCAGGCTCTCCCCCAAGCAGGGAGCCCAAGAAGCAGGGCCTGATCCCAGGACCCTGAACAGACACTCAACCGAGCCACCTAGGCGTCCCAAGCCACCATCATTTCTTGACTGAATTATTGCAATAGCCTAACTGCCTTCCTCCCCACAGAGTCCAAAGACTTTTCAACATACTCTGATGAAGCCCAAAGTCCTTCCACAGCCCCTCCCACCACCACCTCTCCTCTCTTCTACTACTGTCCCTTTGATCACTCTTCTGATTGCACTATGTCTGGTCATTCCTGAATGTATCACCGGCACCAAAAAAGCAAGGGTTTTCCTTTGTTCACCTCTGCATCCTTAGTACTGCCTGGCATATAGAAGATGCTAAATGTCAATAAGTACAATATTTGTTGAATGAAATAAACAGCCACTGGGTAGCCAGGAAAAGGCTTCACTAAGGACTTGATGTTTGAGCTGAGACCTAAATGACAAGGAGCCATCCATGCAGATTTAGGAACAGAGGCAAAGGAAATAGTACAAATCCCTAAAGTGGGAAGAAGCTTGCCTTTTAGAGAAACAGGAAGAAAGAATGGATGCAGGACAGTGATGAGAGAGCACAACCCTATAGGTCAGGGTATGGAGTTTGCAATGCAAAGTAACTGGAGTGTTGTAAACAAAGGTGTAATGGTGGTCTGATTCTGGATTTATCTTGAAAGTAGAGCTGGCAAGATTTACAGACAGACTTAAGGAAAAGGAGGACCCAAGAATGACTCCTACCTACACTTTTGGATGAAGCAATCAGATGGATGGTGTCATTCAGTGAAATGGGTATGAGCGACTGAGGAATAGGTTAGGACAGGAAAGTGAAACAAGAGTTCCAGTTACACGTGTGGAATTTCAGTGACCACGGACAAGGCAGTCAGATAAGCAGGTGTGGTGCTCATCAGAGACGTCAGGGCAGGGGATGTTCATATCCATGTAAACGGGGATATGAATACTGAATAGGACTTGAATATTGAATACTGAAATCAGAGTATCAATACTGAAAACATTACTAAAGCAATCACCTGTTCCTTCCCAAACAACAACTGAGAAGGGTGAAGGGTAGGATGACGCCCCGAGAGTAACCCCATGGCAGGAGGCTCACGCTCAGGCCGATCTTTCAGTCCCAGGGGCCACAAGCGCGGCGCCGCCCCCCGCGCGCCCGGCCGGGCCAATCGCTCCGCCCAGCTTTCCCGACGAGGCAAAGGCCCGGAAGTGGGAGTAAGATGAGCACGCACCAGCCAGTCCTGGTCCTTTCTTAGATCTTTCTTCATCGAGCCGTCTCCGCCTAGCAATCGTCACTGCTCCCCGTCCCAAGAACCTCCACCGGTCCCCGGCCTGCAGTTCACGGAGGAAGGAACACTGGAGACGTCACCTCGCCCCGGAAGTCTTCGAAAGGGCCGCCGGGAAATACTGCGAGCCCCAGGGAGGGTCTGAAGTTGAGGCGGGGACTCCAGTGTGCGTGGTGGACCAGCAGCCGCCAGATTTGGCTTGTGGCCGGCGGCCTCCGGCTGGCTGAAGAGGCGGTGCTTTCCGCGTGTCCCCGGAAGGACTTAGAGCGAAAGGCGGGAGAAGGGAGCCGCCGAGAGGCTGAAGAAGCCCGAGGGGGCGGTTGCGTGCAGACCGGACGCGCTCGGCCTGGTGAGCTTCCAGACGCCGGCTCTCGGGGACCGGAGCCCGCCAAGCCCGCCAAGCCCGCCAAGCCCGCCAAGCCCACCCGGCCGCCGCTCCTGCCTGCGCTTCCGCCCCCGTCGCGAGCGAGTGCGCCTGCGTGCCGGCCCCTGCGCGCGCCTCGTCGCTGTGCTCGCACCGGCCGGCGGCCCGACAGTTCGTGCCGCGCTTCCCGCCCGGTCTCGCTCAGCTCGGCAGCGCCCCGGCGTGCGGCATGTCGCGGCGGCGGCACAGCGACGAGAACGACGGTGAGTGCTCTCGGCCCGACCGCCGAGGCCGCGCCCAGGCGGGGGCCGAGGTCTCGGGGACTCGAGGGAAGGGATGGGAAGCCCTCCCCCCACACACACCCCGGCAGCGTTCGGGGAACCGGGCAGGCAGAGCGAGAATGTGGCCGGGCGACTTCTAAAAAGCCCCCGCTTTCCCCTGCCCCAACTCCTTTAGTCGTCGGCCTGGTGGACCTCTGGTCTCTAAGGACTCTTGAGGATTTGGTCCTTAGTACTGCCGAGTAGGGAAGTACACCTGGGTCTGTGCGGGCCACCTCTTAGGCACAGTGACAGGTACCCACTAGTACCAGTGTCTCGTTTTGACCCTCCGACTGCACCTGAAAAGGGTTCTCAGAAGGGAGGGAACAAAGCAGTGAGTGGCAGATACGAATCGCAGTCTGAGCTCTTCTACCCGTCATCCGTTGATTTGCCTTCTTTCATGCTGCAAGGAAAGAAATCTGTTATCCACACTCAAGAGGTCACTAATAAACAGATGCACCTTGTTACGTTAGATTTTGAACTAGCTGCAAGTGTATTTCCCTCATGAAGGGAAGAGTGCTGGAAAACTAACTGGAGACCTCTTAGGGATTGAGATCAGGGGTTTTCTATTCCATTTAGATGGTTTGCGCTCCAGGGGATCATGTGTTGCCACCATAGAAACCAAGGATAATTTTGCTAGTTAAAAACAGGAAAAGATGCTTAATTACAGAAATCCCTCCAAAACGTACATCCACCAAAAAAGGAAGAAACTGAGTAATTCTGTTATTACATTCTAGCATATCGTTCTTTAAAAGGAGTGTGGTATAGTCGTTAAGAGGCTAGACTTTAGAATCGGAGGGTTTAAGTTCAAAGCTAGACTCTACCATTACTTCATGATCTTGCCCAGATTCTGTCATCTCTGTAAACCTTAGTATGTAATGTAGAAGTGTAATGATACAAACCTCTTCTCAGTTTTGTGAGGTTTAAGTGAGTTAATGCATGTACCAAATATCTCATGATGATACTTATCATCTGTTAATGCTTAAGAGCTGACAAATATTGGCAGATGTCAACGATGGAAGAAAAAATATGGAAGAAAAATTTTAATTAATTTTCTGCACTAACATTTTCTTGTCCTTGAATTTTGGGGCATTTGGGAGTAGGAGCAGAATCACATGTCTTTAGTTTTAAACAATGAAACATCAGATCTCTGCTAGGGAGTGGCTTGAGAGGATGGATACTCTAGTTCATCCTGTCTAATACCTAAGGATTCAGAGTTTTAGTGTAATAAACATGGAGACATAGCTGGCAGTGCCCAGACACTGGTGAAAGCAAGTTAAGGGTTCTCTTCACTGCCCAAGTATTACCATGCTGCATGCCTAGGTTTGTTTGGTTTTTTTTTCTAAACACATGAGGTTTTTTGTATAACGGACATACAGGGCACAGAAAACACGGTTTTCATATGCTTTGACTTGGATTAATAAAAAACTAATATGCTTGAAGTGATTGCTTGGGGTTTAGGGAACTTGAGTCTTTTAAACTTTTAAAGTTCTTCCCATTTTCTTGCTTTTCTCATACTTTCTTTTCTCCACTCTACTCCCTTCTAGGGCACCCTTAAAGGGAGAGAAAATGTTTCCAGAGGGCAACCTGGAGAATTGAATGTGAATATGTAGAAAACAATTTTTGCTTTTGCAGTTGTAATGGTGGCATAATTTTCTTGGGAGTTAGTTTCTTTTAATACCACCTGGCCAGTAAAACATGGTCCATTTGGGTCTTGATGCAGGAACCTTAGAATAAATAAGACAAAAAGAAGTAAAATGAGTTAAAGTTTACTTTGGTGAATAATTTAGTAGTAGAGGGGCAGTTTATAGTTCTCTTGAATACTATACCAATCTGGAACTTCTATAAATTGCCACAATTTGGGTAACGATCAGCTGGGGTTTACCCTAAATAGTAATCTGAATATTTTAGTTAAGCATCTACTGATTTTTTTAAGATCTGAAATATTAGACGCTTAAATGTTATAGAAGGCTATTTTAAAATAGTCTGAATTCTAATAGCTGTAATTAAGTTGATGCATCGGAGCATTTCTGGATTATTGTCAGCTCTTATCAGTCACCGGCTGTCACGACTTTCCATATGCTTGACAAGATATAATCATTTATTCAACAAATATTTAACAGTGCTAGGCACTGTCCTAACTACTGGCAGTACAGTAGTAGTAGACAATATAAAGGTCAAGCCTCCCTTTTACAGACAGAACACAATCAAATAAAATATAGTATATCAAATGGTGGTAACTGCTATGGAGAAAAATAAAACTGGGTAGAGGGGGTAGACTATTGGTGGACTAGCAAGGTGGATTTGCTGTTTTATGCTGGTTGATCGGGGAAGACCTCACTGAGAACGTCATCTGATCAAAGAATTGCAGGAAGTAAGGAAGCAAACCAGGTGGCTGTATGGGGAAAACCAATGGTCTAAGAAAAGGGAACCACGAGTGCAAAGGACTTAAGGCTGGAGCATTCCTGTCCTGTTCACAGAAATCAAGGAGGCCAGTGTCCCTGGAGCAGAGTTGGGGCTGAGGGAGGTTGTAGGAACTAAGATCAGAGAGGTAGCAGAGGATCAACTCATAGAGGGCAGTTTTAAAATTGTATCTCTTTGTTCAGACTAGAGTGTCCAGGATCCAGGGAAATAAGTTAGGAGACTACCAATCTAGTTCAGCTGGAGTGGAGTTCAATTTATGGAGAAGAAAAGGGAAATCCTAAATGGGAAATTATCATGTGTGGATACTGGTCCAGTGCTAAATCTAACTCATTTCTTAGAATCCCTTTAAGAATGTCTCTGTAGCTTTTCAGTTATTATGGGATATACATATAATAGCTGTCCAGTACATTGCTTATTTTGTTTTTCTAAGAATTTATATTATCCAGGGGTGCCTGGGTGGCTCAGTCGTTAAGCATCTGCTTTCGGCGCAGGTCATGATCCCAGAACCCCATGTCAGACTCTCTGCTCAGCGGGAAGCCTGCTTCTCCCTCTCCCACTCCCCCTGCTTGTGGTTCCTCTCTCCCTGTCTCTCTCTCTGTCAAATAAATAAATCTTTTTAAAAATTTTTAAAAAAGAATTTATATTATCTATAACCTTTGCCAAAAACCCATATTAACCCCTTTTTAAGCTACTTAGAATTAGGTCCTTATCTTTTAGACTGTGACTACTTTTTTAACTTAACTATACAAAAAATGATTAGAAGTGAAGGAATTTGTTCCTCCAAGGAAGAGTATAGTTTGTTTCAGGTGTGATAGTCTCCTCTGCTTTAAATCTTCAAGATCAAGGTACTTTACTTTTCCCTTTTTCCTGGTTGGTTTTGCTACTTTACTTCCTTTTTATAGGGTTGGTCTTTGTTTTCCAGTTTGTGTTTTTTATAATAAGGGTATAAGATGTAGTACAGTATATACATATAAAGTTAGGATCGCCTTACAGGGAAAAATTACTGGTGTATGGAGATCCTTTCAGATGGTTTTTGTTTTTAAGATTTATTTATTTATTTGAGAGAGAGTGTGTGCATACAAGCAAGGGGAAGGGCAGAGGAAGAGACAGAATCTCAAGCAGACTCCATGCCCAGTGTGGAGCCTGATGTGGGGGCTCTACCTCATGACCCTGAGATCATGACCCGAGCAGAAACTAACAATTAGATGTTCAACCCTCTGAGCCACCCAGGTGCCCCACAAAAATTGGTTTTAATAAAGACCTGTTTCTGTTTCTCTCTCCTATACTAGCCAAGGGTGTCAGAATGAAGTGGCAATATGTAACTTGAATCTATATTGTAAAACTTCTACATAGTTACATTTAATATAAAATCTGTTCTTGCTTTGGGAGCTATCATAGATAGGTTTTCTTAAGGGTATATGAAAATGGGCACCTGGGTGGCTCAGTCGTTAAGTGTCTGCCTTTGGCTCAGGTCATGGTCCCTGGGTCCTGGGATCAAGCCCCGCATTGGGCTCCCTGCTCGGCAGCAAACCTGCTTCTCCCTCTCCCACTCCCCCCGCTTGTGTTCCCTCTCTTGCTATGTCTCTGTCAAATAAAATCTTTAAAAAAAAAAGATATATGAAAACATTCAGCTAATTCCCAAAATTTTATTGTTAATGAAGGTGCTTTATTCTGCATACCCAGGTTCTCTTCTGAGTTCAATATCCTGCTACTGTCATGAGTTCAGATGTGTCTGTAATTTTACCACCCCTCCTTCATATCCTCTCAAATATCAGGTGAGAGTGGGGCATATCTTCTTAATACTTTCTGCCTCCTGCCATTCTCCAAACAAAACTGTGCTTTCTTACAATCAGAATGGGAAGAGAGAAAATAGGAGTTGCAGATCAGGGAGGACTATGTCCTTGTATTTTCTAGGTTTTCTTCAGAAATCCTACCTTCTCTCCTACAGCATTATTTTCTCCTTTTCTAGGTTACAAGAGG